GATAGGGCATTATTCATTTCGTGTATATTCTACTAGTTGCCTGTAGCTTGTGACACCAGGTTCTGGCACACACAGTAGTAGACGTTATTTTGGGTTGTATAACTGTCTTTACATTTTATTGATCTTTACTGGTTTATGACTTTAATTGGGGGGGAAATCTATTATAATGGTTTTTTTGGTAAGGGTAACATGAGAATTTAATTATACTTCCGCGTTGGTTGGCCTGACAAATGTGTCGGGCGCCATCATGACCTATTATGGAAAATGGGTCGTGACAATATAGAGGCCGCTCAAGCGTGTTGGGGAAGCCGAACAGCCGACCATCAGCTGCCTCCAATTAATGATCTTGGGAACTATGCGGAATGACTTTTCAATCACTTCAGTCGCTGACATCGCGAGATTGACATCATGATCAAGGCGTCGAAACATCGAGGATCAAACCGTTTCTCATCGTCTTACTCTAAGAAACGCGGGGACTATCTGTATACTGTCGAAATTTGGTATGACTGATTTCCAGGCTCGAAGAGTTCGAGCACGAAGGACCAGACTCGAGCTCGAAGGCAGAGTGCAATGCCCGAGGATCGAAGTATGATGAGTATCGCAGCCGCGTATGCTCAACCCAGAAATAATGTCGTTATGGATTTGTAACAGAAGGAGCGAGATTCCTTCCACGTCCACAAAATCATGGCGCAAATCTCGAAATAGAATTGTACGATTCCGTACTAGGCGGTTAGACAGCTGTCCAAATAAGATTCTTTATTGTAAATGGAAATGTACCTTATTTAGGGCTCCCCTATTATATAAAGGGGACCCCAATCATTTGTAAACATCATCTAATCATTGGCTAAGAATATACTCTCTACTTTTCGCTCATTGTTCATCAGAATTGTCCTTTAGCTTTACTATTCTTACTTTATTATTCTTGATTCATTTCGAGGTCACTGAGCTCAAGGTCGATACTGCTTAGTAACACTAGTTTAATTTCGTTCATTTCTTTCATTTATACTTTATACTTCTTGATTATTAATTGGTATTGAATTGAATCACATATCTTTAAAACCATAAATCAAATTTAATTATTACTCCTATTTTCGAGGTAAACAATTTTATTAGTTGAAATTGGTAAGGTTTGTTTTATTTGATTTGGTATTTTTTTCTTTTCTGGTGATAGGCCTAGTTAATATTTATGGCTGGAGCTTTTGATGGTCGTCCAGTGGTTCACCATGGAATGGTTTTAATAGTGATGGAGAAGAGAGAGATAAAGAATTTAAAATTGTGATAAAAAATTTATAAAAAAAAAAAAAAAAGAAGAAGAAGAGATTTACTAATTATACATGTCAAACAATAAAAGGCTTATCATGTGATGTGTCATCCGTGCAGGTGAGGATCACGCTTTAGCGGAGATATTTAAAATATATATTTTGATCAAGTTGAAATGTTCAAATGGGAAAATTACAAGTTTATTTACCGGCTTGAAAAACTCGTGCAAGTTTAAGTGGCTACGGGGCCTTTTTTAGTTCGTTTGCATTTATCAAACTTGCAATTTTGCTTTTCTTTTCTCTTTAAAAGTAAATTACACTTTTTAATTGTTATGATTTAATATTGGGTTGGTGATTGCACTAATTGATCGAATAACACACTCGAAATTCTGGGTGGGAAAAGGTCACTGTCCTGTGCTCTTTTGAAAGTGAGTAATTCCTACTGTGGAATATTTTGATTGAAATTAATTATGTCTCAAATAGAGTAAATGCTGATCTATTTTTTGCGTCCAATAAATTCAGATCTCCAAAAACTCCCTCTATTTACTTGTCAATATTTACTTTTATACGTTTTGCTATTTTAACTAGAATAGAACATACTATCTGAGTCTTCAAGTGAATGAGTAAATTTATTTCGTGAACCAATC